ATTTAGAAATGTGAAGATTTAAAATATTATCTGCTAAAAACAATGTGTCTTCACTTATTTATTTTGTTGTTGTAGTTGTTTAAAGTTCTGCTGAGTGTTTTTTCACTTTACTTTTGGCATTTTTCTTCCCACTTCAATTGTTTGCTCTCTGTAGCGGTGTGGCTGGGAATGGAGTATTTTTTTACTTTCAGCTGTGAATCAAAGCAAAAGTGAAAGTTACACTTTTTTCTTTGTGATCTATTAAGGTTTGTGGATATTTTCATACCAAAGCACTATTTGAATATTTATAAATAAAACCCCATTAAATACTAATGAGTTACCATTCTCAGTCACTAACCTATTCTTAATCTGTTTTGCCATTAACTAATAACCTCAATGTAGTAGCCCAGGTTAGTCTTTGGCAAAAATTTCCAGTTGAATATTTTATTTAGGGAAGAATGCAAATTTGGGACAAGCCAAACTATTCATAAACTTGTGCTGAATTTTGTTAGTAGGTCACCTGGAAATAAAAAGGAAAGAAAATCAGAAAAGTCAAACCACCCCTTTCCCTTCTTTTAAAACAACGTTCCCAGTTATTGCCTCAATCTGATTCTTTTCCATTCTAAGGAAAACCAGGTCTCAATTTAACCCAATTAAATACTTTCTAAGCAACTTATAGACACCAAAATCTCCCAAAAAAGATCCAGGGAGCTGTAGTCCCCTTTGGGAGCCCAGCTGATTTTGAGTACCTTGCAGCTGGGAACATCATTTGCATCAGAGAGCTTGTGGTGTAAAGGCTCCTCCCTGCAAGGATGCTGTGTCTTGTTGATACACCAACAGTACCTTTGCAATGAGAAGGGACATTAGACAGCACCTTCAGTTAAACTCTCTGCAGGATAGGGGTGTACCTTGTTGCTCTACAACTCTCATGGGGAACCCTGTTGCTCTCTACAGCTAACCAAAAGGATGTTGTAGCTGAGTGGTGGTCCGTCTCTTCTCTCAAGTAAAAAGTGACAGGATGAGAGGAAATGGCCTCAATTTGTACCAGGGAAGGTTTAGACTGGATATTAGGAAAAATCTTTTTCACTGATAGGGTGGTCAAGCACTGAAATAGGCTACCCAGGGAAGTGGTGGTATCACCAGCCTCGGAAAAGTTGAAAAGACATGTGGATGTGGCCCTTGGATATATGATTTAGCAGTAAACACAGCGGTGCTAGACTGACAGTTGGATTTAATAATCTCTTCCAACTTCAGTGATTCTGTGATTCTAGAAAAGAGCTAGAGATCACTGCTGTAAAAGATGCTACAAAACATACAAACATTAGAAGCCTTTTCAACTGAAAAGCTAGAATAAGATACAGCTTTGAGACAAAAATATCTTCACTTTTGAGACAGCTTAACATATGCAATATATACAGATTTTACACTATACTGTTCCTACTATGAACGTGTACACAAGCATTGCAGAGCACTTCTGTTATGGCTTCATTTAAGACTGGCTTTCCATAATATAGACATGATTTTATTTTGGATCACAGTTGATTATGTGTGCATTACAACTGCAACACAGGGAAATAATCTCTCTTTGAGCTGCCCTGGGGTGGATAAACACAGTTTTCACAGTGCTACCCCATGGCCATAGGAGCTGCATGGGGGGGAGGGAGGAGAGAACTAATCTGTGCACAAGATTATGGAAGGGAGAGAAGATCATAGGACACAGATTGTGCCTACCACACTCTTTGCCATCATCACCCCATGGCTGTCCCTTAATCAGGGAGGACAAAGGGCTAAAGGAGAGGATACAAGATCTCCTTTAGACCAAGCAGTTTACTTGCTCACTGTGTGGTAACAGGGAACAATGTCCATATATTCCTTGACCAGAAAGACCTTTTAACACTGTTGCCCTTGAGATCCTTATTTTTGTTAATCACAAGGCTTATGGCTACGCTCCCCTTCTCCTCCACCCCCTTCCCTTCCAGCTCCCAGTAGCAGGGAAGAGGTTGGGCCAGCCTGCTCCTGGCCCTGGGGAGGAGGTGGCAGAAGGCTGGCCTTATTTACCTTAGCCATTTCCCCGTGTAATCTGGGTAATCATGTGGCTAATCGGTGACATGGAGGAGCCCCCCACACCGCAATTCACAATGCCAACCTATTCATATTTCATACAATAGGGTATTTAAGTTATCCCATGCCTTGCCAAGGCGATTGCTCCCCCTTTGTTCTGATGTTTTCAGCAGGGGTCCCCTGCCCTACTCCCTCTTTCACACCAGCATATGTCCTCACTCTTGCCTACTGCAGCTGGACAAGGGCTGTTGTTTTTGTTTTGTTCTTCAAAACCAATGAATCAATTATGGCTGTGTGAAATGTGGGTTAAAACAGTCCCCACATGTATGCATACATTAACCATTTGCTACATTACAACTTCACAGCAAAGTGACCGATGAGGCAACAGTGCTCATGCTCTTCCATTTTGAATGGACAATCTGTTAAGTACAAAAGGAAATAGTAAATAAAAGACTGACTGAACATATTGTTTCAAAAATGGCTCACCATGCTATATCAAAGTGAAATAAAAGTACCTCTACCCCAGTGTACTACAACCATAAAGAACAAATCAGATATGTAACAGAAAATTACAGGGTTCACATGAATGGATACAGAATATTAAATTCAGACCACATTCCTGCAGTAAGGATTATTACTGCATGTTCACCTTTATTTGCTGCCTATCTCACATTCAGCATATAGTGAACTCAACAGCCTTATAAATTATGGAACTTGATCTCATCTTTGTACAAATCAAAGACAAAAAGCCCACAGTAAACACCTCCAGTTCAGGATTTATCTCTCATATGGTGTGTTGATTTGGGGATCAGAACTGGCAAGGAGAAATTGCATTCATAGGCTAGACTATCAGATCTCTTCTCTCCCTGGCTAGTAATGACAAAAAGTCAATTGTCTCCAAAAACTCTTTTGTAGCTTACACAAAACAGGTCTTGTGGCTCTATTTCTCTTCCAAGGTGTAAAGGAATTACATATCATAGCAATTTCCTCAAAATTAATACTTCAAGCTTAGGTTAAAGTCTGAAACACAAATACATTTTTATTTTTAAGAAGAACCTTAAATGCTTATAATATAATTCAGGTACTTAAAAAGAGGTATTTAATGACATGACAAAAGATGCCATTCCTTCCTGCTTCAAGTTTGTGCTACTCCATGGTTGTACAACTGGTGCTGAAACACATCACTCATGACTTTTCTTGTAAATGCCTGAGCCATGTTCCTTAGCTTGAATTCAACACATAAAAGTTCACACCTGTGTTCTGTATTGCAATCAGTTTTCATTTTTTTTCTCGTAAAACTGCAAAACAGTGTTGAGCCTCAGTCTTGAGAGCCAGTTTTGCACAGAAAGCTAAGCTTTCTATGAAAAGTTAATTAACACACATGCAATATTTTACAGACATAAATAGTAGTGCACTGTATAAAGTACACAAAAGAAAAAATCTGTACAGCATGCTCACCTAGTTTTTTGAATGATTAACTGTAAGTCTGAAACCAGGAATTTCAAAATCTTGAGGGGAACAGAAGGCATACCACAGATGTATTTAAAATTTCATTTTGATTATCAAAGAAGTTATAATATCTTTTTCAAAATCCAACTTTTCAATGTCAGAATTTTGAAACCCCTTTACTTCTGCACACCCCTAACCCTCCAAATCACAAAATAACTATAACAAATAAAGCTTCTCAAGACTTTATTCAGGGCAGACTCTGTCACTAGAATGTGCAGTAGCAAATTATCTATCTGTACATCTCTCACTGAAGTAAAGCAGATTTTGTTCAAATTGCTATCAGTAGAATTTATACCACCTGAAAATGATCCCAATTCAGATGATGCACTAAATTTGTAAATGGTTGCCTTCCCCAGCACCCAAACAGCAGGGACAGAGCTACAGCAATATAAATGTGCTAATCCCAGCACAATGTATTCCCACATCTCCCTGATGTGATATCGAATCATTCTAAAGGGTTTTCAATATACAAGTTAATTAGCTACAGCGAAACAGCAAAGTAACGTCTAATGAAGACCAGGGTTTAAAATACCAGAAGTAGCCTGTTGTACCCTTTCCCTCATCTTTAATATTCTTTTGAAATGGGTTGCAGATATAGTTCAAGTGTAATTTAACTAGAGACAGATGGAATTTAATGAACAGGATTGTTTTGATTATATGGTAAACATAGTGGACATTGTAAAATATGCATTTTCAACAACATCTGCAAGAATACCATTTCTGTTTTAGCACCTCAAAATGCTACTGCCATGCAGTATCTATCTATCTATCTATGCACTTGTAATGCTAAGATGATGACACTATTTTGTTACTGAACATATGACATTATATTCTACTTACATACTCAATTTCTTATTTCTTAGAACAAACAGCTCATGGAAAAGCAGTTGGTTATTTCTACTCAAAAAAATTTAATCTGTCTAAAGCTAATCACACAGAATTAAAAAGACACAAGCAAAGAATGTCTGCAACATACAACTTGCAGAGATAAGATAAAAAACAACATGAGAGAGTAAACTTAATTACCTAAGAAATATCTGCTACTTGTAGGAAATACAGAGCTGCCACAGTTGCATGTTTCATATTTAACTAAGAAATGGAAAGTCCTAATTAATTAAATTAAGGTCCTGATCCTCACTGGATGTGAAAGTCAATGAGACCTTATCCATGTGAACCTCATAGCTGGAGTGGGACTGAACACTCCCTTTTGCTGTCTATCAAGGATGAAACTCATTTTGTAATCCCACCACTTCATTAACACCTTTCCAGCACATTATCTTTGCCCTAATCCTCCTGTCACTTTAGGGATTCAGGGTCATTAGAGCTCTTGAAGGGTCGATGTTATTGTTGTGGAGGTGTGAATTGATCACTAAGATGACAACTACTGACAAGTATACATTATTAGTCTGCTACTTTGCCTCTTAATTGCTACTGATTATCCTGTCTTTTAGAAATGAAATTTGGACTCCTTCTGCCATTGCCAAGGATTACACTGCTTTCTAATAGGACCATCTAATCACTGTCACCCATTCCCTGGACTCCCTCAGAAAGCATCCCGTTTAGACATGGTATGTTTGCCCAACTCAATGGAACTACTTATGTGAATAAATCAACAAGGTAAGGCCCTTTAACCCTCCTATTACATTGTGTTTGGCTTTTGATTGAGAGAATTTCTCTGTTAAAAACCCAAATATTTCTGATTGCTTCTTTTCCTTTGCAATGGCATGAATAGGATCATCTTTTTTTTTTCCAAAAGTCCCATTTTATGTATGGCTACACTTACTATTTGAATGGATTTCCCAGAGGAAGAGCTGGCTTTCCAAGCATCATCATATTGCATTTTAGTTACACATTAAGCCCAACCAGCAAAAATAAAATTAAACTTTTGTGTCTTGCCAGATTTTGCATGCTTCAAGTCTTAATTGCTGTTGACCACAAGAATTACACTTAGTATTTAGTTTTACAGAACTCCTTGCATAAAGAAGGGTAAAAAAATATAAAAGGAAAAAGAAAAAAACTTTTCTAACTAGAGAGCTGGGGAGTAGAAAAATCTTCGGGCAGCATAAATGTACTATTGTACTTACTTCACAGTGGCAATCTTTGCATTGCTGGTTGTTTTGTTTCATATCAGGGTAAACATATCTATAAGGGATCAGACTTAGCAGCAGGGGAATATTAATACAGAACTCTTAAGTTCTTTGATCTTTTTTATTAACATTGATTAAAAAATAACACTGACAACAAAAAGAAAACAACTCCCAGATCTCCTATTCCTACTCCAAAACCCACATAAAAGTCAATCTCTGTATAACACTCCCTTCCAAAACCAAGTGCTAAACCTAAATCAGCAAAATATAAGAACTTTAACAAATATATAATCTTGAATTTTGTACTAGAGACATTCAAATGTGAATCTAGCTGCTCAGGATGAATATTTGACCTTCCTAAGTAATCTGAATTGTTCAAGGTTATTTTATAGGATTAGTATTTCACATGGATGACACATTTCCCATGAAAAAAACCTGCTACATAAAATTCAGATTGACTCTTTGAATTTTACTGCGGTCAAAAAAACATTCAAACAGTTTGTGCAATAATACGATCTCTCCCTTCCTCTTTTAACCATGCCCACGTAGAACTTCTGTAAAGGCACTTTGCTTATTAAAAAGAGCTTGAAGATGATTGAAACCTTTAATTAATTTTTTATTTGATTTCACTAGAGAAAAATAGCAAATACTTATAGTATTATTTTTCCAAGAGTATGACTGCATTTTATGGATAGTTTTACATGCACAGTCCTGTTCAACAAAAACAAAAGTTCTTTCATTTAACCTCCACGGGTCAATACAAAGCACAACTGCTCGTGATGAGAGTGCTGTTTGGTCTTCTGATCCCACTGTCTTCTTCAAAAAGAGGTCCTGATCTGTATTTGGATGGAGGTCTCTGTAGACCCTAATCTAAACTGTAGCTACTTTTACTTCACTAGTTTGGGATTTAAAATATTTTTATTTAACTAAGATATGGTCCATAAGCTGTCAATGTAATTTCAGTCTGAGTGACTCACCTCACTTTTCATTAACCATACCTTGATAGCTTGACTTACCTGAAACAAATTGGCCTGTGTGGAGATAATACCCATACCAACTGCAACAGGTATGGGGTTGATGAGGAAGATGTTTGGGAGACAGAACATATCTGTGAAGTAAATGGGAGAAGGTTGAGGTCACTTCTGAAACCCATGTCAATGATTGCTTTACACAGCCTCCTCTGACAAACGTAGCCTTCGGAAATAACTGTTACCTGATAGCACTTCTGGAAACAACCATTCCTGGATATTCATGCTAAAAATGGGTACTGAGAAACAGAAGACATTGTAGAGGCATTGACACAAACTGGTACAGTAAGATGTGGTTGAGACGTTTCCTTACCATAACCACACTGGTGACTCAAATTTGGTTCCCACAGAATGTAATTATCTTCCTGCCACAGAAAACTAGTGAGCAGTCCTTCCTGGAATAAGCCTGGCTGAATAACCATAATCTACTCATTATGATTTAGGTAAATCATAAGGTCAGGTAGATTTTTGATTTAAAAAAAAAAAAATCAGGTAATTGATCCCTGTATGTCTGAACAGCTTTTCCAACAATTTGAGATCTATCTGTTTTACATTAGAAAACATGGACTCTCCTGTAGGACAGACTTTAAGCTGTGGTAAAATTAAGTGTCAGACAGAAATTTCTGTGGTTGAGCCACTTCATGCTGCTGAGTTTTTTGCTCCAGAACTACTCACAAATCAGAAAGATATTGTCCTCTTGTGGAAATTTCCACTCCATTGAAATCTAAGAAGTACAAGATTATTTATTTTGAAAAAAAAAATCTGAATAGTTAATAAATTTCACAGAAACAGCTTTGAGGAAATTTCTATCAAAGAAAGTAGAGCTTACATGAGATGGGATGAGAGTAGTCCAGAGAAAAATATCCTGGACATCTTGGGAAGGTGAAACTTAGTGCATTTCAGTGGCTAACTGTGCTAACTCAGTGGCCTGGGCAGGACGGCATCATGGGGAGGTGAATAGGTGATATGACCTCTATATCTGGTAATAAAAAGCCTGGTACTGAAATATACTTTGATGTCCATACATAAATAATGGGCCAAATAATTGGAAAATTTTAGGAGACAAATATGACAAAAAATGGGAGAAGACTGTAAATTTCTTCTGGAGGAAAAGATCTAATATCCCAAGGGAAACTAGCACCTCCTGGCTAAAAGCAGGGAATAGATATACTTTGAGCTGAAGGAGGGGATATATTTTTCAGAAGGGTACATGTTCCTTTGCAATGACTGAACAGAGACTGTTCAGTAACAGTTCACCCATTCTCACAGGCAGAGCTGAATGGTGTTCTGAGAGAATTGCTCTTTTCAGGCAGACCATCAGCAGATGATAATGCACCAGTCCTGAGTCCTCGTGGCAGAGGCCATATCTGATGACAGCAGTGATCAGATCTATATCTATACTTAGCATCTCTATAGGAAATATCCCTGACACTATCAATTTTCTCTCACTGTCTGAACAATTCCAGAGGTTCTTCCCTCCCACAGTCTTGGCCTCCCAGCCTCTTGTTCTAGTGTATAACAACCTAGCACAGCGCAGCTACTAAATATCCAAGGCCCTGTCACAAACAGCCCTACTAAACAAGCCTAAGGATGACATGATACATATTCACAAAGAAATTAAGGTTGTCTTTTCCTAAAAAATACGATGATATTATGCATTGCTGCTAGTTGGACTTCCAGTTCAAGAGATAGCTGTTTGGATAGATAAAGCACTTGAAGTCCAGGTCAGATTGATAGATTAGCTCAGAACTCTGGCATTTGGATTAAAGAAGTATAGAAATGAATCTTATATTTGACATTTAAAACACTTTCAAAGAGCCTTTTCCACTGCCTGTACTTTCTTAAATCATAGCAGAAAGATCTGCCATGGCAGAACAATGTGAGAAATTACTGTCCGACTGCTTCTCTGTTTTCCCACGTTATGACTGAAGACATTAGTCCCTGAATCATTTTACATCTTGGCATTATGTGCAATGACACTGTGTGTAAAAACAGATGACGCAACAGAAAGGAAATTTGAAAATTCATTTACCCTTTCTTTTGAAAAGCATCTAGAATGTAAATGTGGTTGTGGCAACTCCAGATGAAAGAGAAAAGAATAGAAGAAAAAAAAAAAAAAGGCTGGTTTTGGAGGGCTAGCATGACTAAAAACTTTAGATTTATGCAGTCTGACTCCCAGTTCCTGCACGACCTTGGCAAAGTCACTTATTGTAACATTTTCAGAAATGGATGCTATTTCCTCAGGCTTTCATTCTACTTCTCATCTCCAGAGTATATAACTGTTTTGCATGTACAACCAATAGCAAAAGTAAAAGTCTCAAGGGACTTAATGGAATCTCTGGATCTTGATCTTTTCAGGGCTTAAGAGCTCTTTGATGTAACATACATATAGCATGATTTTTTAGATGTTCCAGGACCCCCTTCCCCCTGCCAAAACTTTGGGTTTTACAAGGAGTCTTTATGGACTGCCAGAGTTTTGGAAGACCACTTTGAGACAGCTAAGTCATCCAGACGAAATCAGTGAGAGACATAGAAGGTCTGAAATATCAGATTTTTTTCCATCTAATTTCTTCCCATCACATGACATGAAGCATTTAACAACTGAAGGACACAAAACTGAAAAAAAAGGGTGTTTCATCTCTCCTTTACTTCTCAGCTCTCAAATTGGGGGTTTAGATATTTTGGAACGGTTGAGGCAGAAGAAGTAATGAAACTACTGAACAAGTTGAAGACCCTCATACTTGGGTGAAGTAAAATGCTTTCTACAGACGCTTTATATATTAAGTGCTTTGCATATTTGCTAGCAACTCACACGGATTTATAAGAAACGTTCTCTCAAACCCAGATGTTACAGTTTAATTGATAACTGCATTCTCACTCTGCTGCAGTGTTAAATAAATAATACACATTTTAGGACTGAAAGAATCAATCCAGAAAGGAAAGACTATATCAGACTATAAATACAAACAGAAAAAAAGTTCTGCTAATCTGCTATATTAGCTATTGTATGATATTTAAATACAATGTGTACTTCCTGTTTATCGTCACCAATCTTTCTCATATGCTCATATTCAAGGTGAGGTGGGCTATCAACCTTCGCAATCATCAGAAATCACATTTTGGTGAATATTCACACAAGTCTGGTAGAGCATGGGAAGCTGAAGTGCTCTAACAGGGCTTGGAAAAACATCAGACTCTCTATTGGTGTTCATCCTACCAGCTTTATATATTCTCTAATTTTCATCTCAGGACAATTTCAGCTATGCCACTTTGGGTTCTCACTGAACTGCTCCATATATGAGCTCTCCATTTTACTGTACCTATAGGAATTGTCATTTCTCATCTCCATGGCTTGAATTTTTATTTCCACCTTCTTCTTTTCAGCTCTGTACACATCACTAGCTAACATTTCTTCTATTTCTTTTTTTTTTTTTAAAGAATATAGGTAAGAGTGTAATCACTTAAGTGCTCTACATATTTCTTATTAGATATTTTATTGTCA